TGCAGGGGCTCCTTGCAAGGGGCAGGTCCAAGGGCACAGGGGCCCAGATCTGGCCCAGTGAGGACCCCCCGTCCCCTCCAGGCAGCTGCCGCGGAACAGCTGCTCATGCGCACCGGGCCCGGGGCTGCGCCTGTTTGGGCCAAGCTACACGCTGGACTTCACCACTGCCTTCGGCCCCTCCGAGCTGCCGGGTGTGCATGGCCAGCGCGAGCGCCAGTACCAGAGCGACCAGCTGCGGTGAGCCCCCCACCGGGACCCCCGCCTCCCCCTGCTGCGCCATGCAGGCCCCCTGAGCACCACCCGCTACACGTCACAGCCTGGGGGACCCCCCTGTGAAGGCTCTGCCCCCATGGTGTCACAACTGGGGAGACCCCGGGGAGCACCCCTACATCAGGGCCTGGGACCCCCCCAGACTCCCTAGGGAGTCCCCGACCCTGAGCTCCCCACTGGTCGCCGCCTGAGGGACCCACCCCCAGGCGGCTGGGTTGGGAGTGGGGGGCTCTCTCTTCTCTGCCCCCCAACCTGCACCCCAGAGGGGCAGTGGCAGGTAGGGGTCTCAATCTCCACCCCCCCAGGGCCCAGTCTCCAGCCAACCAGCTCCTCATCGTCCGTGCCAACTCCCCGCTCGAGTACCCAGCACAGGGGGTTGAGGTGCGGCCTCTCCACACCATCCTCATCCCAGGTGAGACCCCCCTGGAGCCCCCTTCAGGAGGGGGGCAGCCCCTGCCTGGGGCAGGCCAGAGCTATGGGGCTGGCCTGGGGGGTGGACACAGGGGCTGGGCACCCCAGGGGGGCACTAACCCCCACATCTCTGCCCCCCAGGGCTCAGTCTGCAGGCGACCGGCAGGAAGCTGTACCAGGTAAGGAGGCAGTGCCGGGGGAAGGGCTCAGAGGGCACTGACTTTCTGTATTAACCCCACACTGCCCGGGCAGGTGAACCTGACGGCCTCCATGGGCACCTTCAACATGGCAGCCACGGTGGAGGCCGTGGCAGTGCAGGGTGAGGGCGAGCACAGCCTCTCACTGGCAGGCACCCGCCTGGCCCACCTCAACCGCCAGCTGCAGTTCATCACCTACACCAACACCCTCTACCACCCCAACACGGCCGACACAGGTGGGGCTGGGGGCAGGGGGCACTGCGGGGTGGGTACTGGGCTTGGATGTCAGCACAGGGGTTGTTCCCAGACCCCCTGTGCCCGCCTCCTCCTTTGCTTTCCAGTGCAGTTTGCCACCGACGGGCACCAGGCCACGTTCTCCATCCGGATACACCACACGCCCACCCCAAAGCTGTATGACCCCGGCTACCCAGCCGACGGGGGTGAGTACTGGGGGGGTCCTCTCCTCCCACTCCTCTGCAGCCTGGTGCACCTGGCACTGACCCCTGACCTCTGCCCTCCCCCTCAGAGGACTACAACATCAGCGCGCTGGTGACAGTGGCCACCAAGACTTTCCTGCGCTACGACAAGCTGCGGGCGCTGATCGCCAGCGTGCGGCGCTTCTACCCCAGCATCACCATCGTGGTGGCAGATGACAGCCCCCAGCCCGAGCGGCTGGTCGGCCCCCAGCTCGAGCACTACCTCATGCCCTTCGGCAAGGTGCAGGGGGCAGGAGGGGCTCGGACGCCTGGGTCCAGGGGTCACGGCTGGGGGGAGCTGGCCAGGCCGGGCAGGCACTGACCTCTATCCCCCACCTAGGGCTGGTTTGCGGGCAGGAACTTGGCCATCTCGCAGGTGGCCACCAAGTACGTGCTGTGGGTGGACGACGACTTCATCTTCACGCCCCGCACGCGGCTGGAGAAGCTGGTGGACGTGCTGGAGAAGACCAGCCTGGACCTGGTGAGTGGTGGGCAGTGCCCGGGCCGGGCATCACCCCCTTTGGAGGCTGCCCGGCCAGCACCCCCTGACTTTTGACCCTGCAGGTGGGGGGTGCAGTGCGGGAGATCACGGGCTACTCCGCCACGTATCGGCACAAGATCAGCGTAGAGCCGGGGGGACCCGAGGGCGACTGCCTGCGGGTGGTGCCGGGCTGGCACCACCCCATCGCCGGCTTCCCCGGCTGCGTCGTGGCTGACGGCGTCATCAACTTCTTCCTGGCGCGGACCGACAAGGTGCGGCAAGTCGGCTTCGACCCGCGCCTCAGCCGCGTCGCCCACATCGGTCAGTGCGGGCACTCAGATACCTGGGATGGGGGGGCGAGAGCAGGGGAGGAGGAGAGCCCTGGGGTGGGAGCCTGGGCGCTGGGAAGAAGGGTCTGGCGGATTAGGAAAGAGGGGGGTCTGGGGGCCCAGACACCTGGGTTCCCTCCCCGCCAGGCAGGGAGGAGCAGGCCCTAGCGGCTGCCCTGCCCTGCCCGCAGAGTTCTTCATCGACGGGCTGGGCACGCTGCACGTGGGCTCATGCGAGGACGTGGTGGTGGACCATGCCTCCAAGCTGCGGCTGCCCTGGCGCCAGACGGAGAGCGAGCGGCAGTACGCCCGCTTCCGCTACCCACCGCCCGCCGACAGCAGCATCAACACCAAGCACGGCCTCTTCTACTTCAAGAACCGCTTCAAGTGCATGGCGGGCAACTAGCCGCCCGGACGCCTGGGTCCCCTCCCTGTGGCGGGGCAGGCCCGCTCCCCGGATGCCTGGGTCTTCTCTCTGGAGAGACGGGGCGTAATGCTGCTGTGGCTTCTTACCTGTTTTGTACCACCCGGGGGCATGGGCCTGCTGCCCCCTGCCCGCACTAAGGTGAGAGGGAGGAAACCCCAGTCCACTTTTCCCAGAGGCCTGGGGGGCGCTGGGCTGCCCGGAGCAGAGGCGGACCCAGGTGTCCGAGCCCTCCCCCCCCCCGTGCCCTGCATACAGGAGCCATGG